AAGCGATAACTGCGGACCGAATAATCCTCTCTGCCCACGAAACGTTGCCATAATGTTCGAATTTAATTAGGATCACGTGTAACGATATCTGCAAGGCAGGCTTCTTAGGAAATAGTCGCTCGTTCTCATTTGAGGGAACGATCTTGGCAAAAAGAGTCCGTAGCGCTCGTGAAGCGCGTTTTTTCATGGTCATCTTGGGGTCCATTTGAAGCTGCCAAGAGACGCTTGTTGTCTGACTGATGTGAAACCCTTCAGAGACGATACGTTTGCAGTAAAAAATAACGTCTAAAGAAGCGCATTATCCAGATAGAGCCCACTGACGTTTCGTAGGGGACTGTATTCTATATATGAGTACTGTCAAAGTAGTGCGTTTGGTGGTCATGGGATGTAGAACTGAATGGACATTATAGTTACGCGAGCAAATAAAAGTGCTGCGTAGTGGGAAATAAATTCCCTTAAAATCATTCGTCCACGGAAAGGGTTCACCGTCCTATCGAGGGCGACAGATACATTTTTATGATTAAAAACATCTCTCTCTCTCGACAACAACCAGCTCCATGTTTTCGCGAATAATCGCGCCGTGAGCACCTGTGTTCTGTGCGGGTACGCGGCGCCAATGGCGAAGCATCTGCAGCGTCATTCTTCGATACCAAAAGTAATAGCTTTGCTTTTCTCTTTTTTCCAGTTATTATGTGGATTCTGTGTCTGGGTGTGTCATTCTCGATCGTGGCCTGGTGACAAGGCCGACTATAAAGAATGACGGTCCTTTGAAATGACGACCCTGCATGAATACTATTACCCGCTTTGCCAGACTTTCGAATTGTAATCAGTTGGATCGAGATGAATAAATGATTACCGCTCCTCCGCTACCGCTACACAAATACAAATCATTTTGTTTGTTTTTGTTAGTATAATGCATCCCTGCAATATTAGTTGGGATAGAGCGTTGAACATCCATTTCGCCATCGAGAGCTTCTGAAGGATATAGAAAAAACGCGTAACTAGAAGATCGATGAAGAGCTTGGGAAGAGTCGCCGCGAAATATCTTTAAAGAAGGATTTTTTTAACTCAGTCAAGAGAATGTGTTGTTGAAGAGAAGACCCGCTTCCATGTCGTTTCTTTACCGATTTACAATACTGTGCCTATTTGGCAGCTGGATGATTTTCCATCTGGTAAACCTTGTCTGCTGTTTGTGGAAACCTGTGGCACTGTCGGACGAAATGATCGAAGATAGAATAATTTTTGTCTTCGCGTTTTACGCACGGCGGCGGATTATAAAATACCGTTGTCGAGATATAAAAACCCATTCTGACTGTACAATTTATAGCGGGGCCGTGAATCTCTGTTCTTTTGAAATAGTCGTCTTGCTTTTTCAATTGGAACATGAAAAGCAAATATATGCAGATACGACAATTGAGCAGTTTATCCTTGGCTGAAAATCACGCAATTTCAAGTTATAAAATAGCGTCTAACAATGATGGTTTGTTATTTTCGTCGGTTTACTAACGAGTTGCAAAAAAATAGAACTTGTGTGCTTTATGTCTTAATGCGATAGGAAATTAGCTCTATGATACAGTTTCCACTAGAACGAATGGCCAGCTCTCTCTCTCTATATATATATATATATATATATGGCGAAAAAAACAGAAAATAGCTCATATCCTTATCACTAGAAACTGAACCCGAATCATTAGCTATGAGAGTACATTTTTCTTTCGGATATTGCTATAGTTTTTAACGCATAAGCTTCATATGCGAGCAGAACCTTTAAAAGCAAACTCACGGAATACTGCTAGATGAAAACGAATGTCGGCTATCGAAACATTTCTATTATGAATTTTATATTATATATTACCTCTAAACCCAAAATGTTTCGAATTTCGCGCCCAGTATCTCCATGAAATACTCCATAACTCATCCGACTCCCCAGCACGAAGCGAAACTAGTGAATACCCTCTAAGCTATCGCGAAGGCGTGTTGATTACATAATCTATGGCGCAGCCGTTATCTGGAAAGCATCACGTGTGCCTCTTCAACCTGACGCTGGCTGCTTGCGTTCCACTGAACAGTCTGAGTGTTAGCGCGCGAGCGATAGCGAGAACTTGCTCGGCTTCATAGGCGTACGACGTTGTGACAGCGTACGACCGTTAGTATCATCGGCCTTGCGGTCTTGTCCCGTAACATCACTACATTACGCTACAGGCAACAACAAACCGTCGATGTACAGAGTGTGTCTGTATGCAAGCATGTACTCGTAATGTATACAGGTCGCTAGTTCCATGACTGCGCAACATCTACAAGCGACAAAGAGTCCGGTTGAAGCCAGCGAAGTTTTCTCCAGACACTGGACCTAGATCAATCGTGTACTAGTTAAGAAGCAGTACTTTTAATGTTGCGTTCGTCTTGGAAACGAAAAAGTTAGGTACACTTATAATTGCAACAGGAAACTAATGTTCATATATGTTCATACATGTTCTATATGTTCATAGAAATGTATCGAGTCGCAACGAATTCGACCAGTATAGTACGGCTGAACTTCATTTCCTATATTTTAAGTCCGCCTGAATTTTATGTCCTATTGCCTATCACTGACTGCCTTTTGTACCCTACACTATTGGCGTTTATAGAGTTCAGTGCTCATAGATATTGAGGGTCTCCCATTAAGTGTTTAGGTTGTCAATTTAATAATTAATTTAATTAGGGTAGAGTCAAAGTAAGACTATATATATATATATATATATATATTTCTTTTCTTCGGACCGTTCCGCCCAAGACAGAGCGTTGCAAAACGATATGCACCTGATTCGTAGTCCTATGATAAGGTTCTTCCTAATTATTAGATTACATTCATGTGGATTATTATTTTCCCGTGACCTATAAATTTATTCTACTTGCAACTAACGATACTATTATGAGCGATAATGAATAGTAATCTTGGATAGCTTACTAGACAATAGATGAAGATGGTAATACGTCCCCCTAGTTTATCAATTCATAATCAAAGCAAAACCATTTTTGTCTTCGTGATTGTTCAGTGCTAACGTGTTTGCTTACCATATTAGAAGCACGTGATGGTCTTATCTGAAGCCACACGCAGACAGAGATATCTCGTTCCGGATCGGGAAGGTCTCAAACAATGCTCAACGGCAGTACCGGACACTATACTCGAAAAGAAAGAGAACCATCCAAGGATTTAATTAGCGAGCACAATGTATCGATCGCGCTCATCTTTTCTACTACGTTTCTAACTATTAGATAAATACGAGCGCATGCTCACGTGGCATCTTTAGATTTCAGATTCCACATTATGCTCACTTTCACACTAGATCGTCGCAATAATCCCTTAACCTACTAGCAGATCTAATGAACACTAGTATTGCAAGGAGAATCATATAAGCCCACTGAAATAATCCGCTGTTGCCGGTCAGCTGTGCAACTCATGGAAAAACGTACTGCGGCTTTAGTACGAGTCCATAATTCAACACGAACGCCGATGCGCACAATCGGAAATGAATGAATGAATAGGTTTGGCCTCTTGGCCTTATACAACCCGTTTGTCACAGTGGAGTTGTATTGTAAGGCAGTGGGAAAGGGAGGATGAACCTGGAAACGGCACGATTGGCACTTCGAATAGAGGCACGATATGTGCGTCCAGAGCGCTGAACGCGATGCAGTAAACCGGAGCGCGCTGCATCCAACGTTTCTTTAGGTGCCGACAGAAAAAAACTGGCCCGGCCCCACTATCGAGTCGTGTGGGTGGGATGTGAATGCCGGGAATAAACAGAGGGAAAGATGGGCTTCAGTTCATCGTGCATTCATGCATGCAGGTCATCGTTTGTTGTATGTAAATCATAATATTAGTATTAACAACTCGCAAGCGCATTTGATAGGTGAGTAAAGATGCGTCGACTTAGCTGTCTAATGCGTCAACTGTATAGCTAGGCCTTAATTCATAGGTGTCCCATAGGCTATTTAGATATTGCTATCATTTGTTCGTTTCGACTATGTGGTGGTAACAAGGGAATAGGCCAGTAAGACTCAGCCGACTTGTCATGCTACCATCAATGCAATGATTCATATCGGAACGTAATAGATGACTGCGATATTTCAAAACTCGAATGGGAAAGCGAGATATGCGGTTCCTAAAAATATTCTCGCAACCGTTAGGGCCACTAGAGGAAGTGATGCCATAACAAACCACGCGTCATCGTGGGCTAAAAAGAGGCCTGAACACGCCTTTCTTTCTATAAGTTCAACATTCACGCAATAGTGTGATTGTCGAAGTGTTTAGGTGATTTTGTAAGCTGTACACGCTACCCCTAAATGTAAATTATTTATTTAGAATACTGAGATCAACGTCGTAACTGACTGCTGGAGCTGCTACTGCAATAGAACTTTGAGTATAAACTTCTATATCTCGCCTAGGAAAAGTAAAGGTTTTCAAAGACTTGCTAGAGCATTCTCATATATATGACACCTAAAGATTGCTAGACATCTTGTTAATGTTTGTAAATCAGCAATTTTGTCGGTTTACATAAAAATCCAAAAAAAAATCAAAGGGCTATAGAATGAACCTTTGCTTTATCTAAAGACAGATAGTAGGCCCTAAGTAGGCCAATTTCGACAGAATCAATGTCTGCATCTACTTCAAACAGATCAAAAACAGAGGCCTGCCTTCTATCGTCTCTTAATGTTAAATTCGCTGATTGAACCGCAGCGGAACAACATTTCCACTATGATATAGATATTATAATTGAATCTACAAATATTGAGATAAAAACTATTTTGGAAAATCCATGAGGTATGCACTAGCAAATAAAAATCTACGCTATTTTATCTCATATGGATAACAAGCTCCATTCGGTCCGTATAGGAAATAATTCTATTGTCACATATTCTAAATTACACATCTTTTCCACATTTTTTCAATGCAAGTATAAGAATATGCAGAAGCGTCTTACAACAAAGTAAATTTATTCATCTTTTATCCTGTTTTGTAGCATGCCAGACACAGCGAAGTTGGCGTCTCCGCCGCCGGGTGTGCTGAAAAAACCGAACTCGTCAGGAGCAGCAGTAGCAGCTAATGAGGGCAAGGAAGAATGGATCGCAATGGATAAAAACAATAAACAGGACAACAATAAGGAGTCTCCGGGGGCAAAAGACTCAAACACTGTAACTGCCGGCAAGGGCGGCAAACAAAGCCGCTTTCAAGTAGCAAAGGTCGATTTTGCCAAAGGATCAAAGGACGAAGATCGACACAGCAGCAGGTGAGCAAGCGAGTCTACATTAAGCGTTCTTCGAGCTCTAAAGAGTGAAAAAATGTAAAAACCTTTGTGTTACCTTGGTTTTTAACATTGCATGACTGGGCCTTAGCAGAAGCCCATTAAATTTAGGATCAGCCATTTTTATCTTGAGGAGTAACTACTCCATTACAGATCCACTATAGTATATCAATAACACAGCGACTTAAACTGAATAACCGTCAACAGAAATAGGGGCAACTCGTTGAAGAATGTATTGAATCGTTACAGTATGTCTCCCACACTGTCTGTTATAGCTATCGAAGTGCGGCATATTCGGGCTAATATACTCATAACCATTTTCTTTAATGAGTTATGTGCCCCCCAAAGATCCTTGCCTGCATTGTCAGAAGCATTTTTTCTGGTCTCCGAACGTTAAGTATACCGCCCATAAGATTGCTTCAGCTTTTTCCCGTGTCTCTTACCACTACGCCCTGCGCCGGCTGTTTGCCTGCACAAGGAGATGTACTCGTTCAGAGGTAGATCGGAGTACTATAGGATATTGCGACAGCATATTAATAATCGTTTACGGAGTCAGGCCGCAGACTTAGGAGGCCGCCGTGCGGTTGCCAACGCAGTCCAAGCCATCAGCGGGGTCAAAGGTGCAGCTGCTATTTCCGCGTGGCTACTAGCAGCAGCGACCGATGCAACGAGTGTGGCGTTAAGACCGACAACCAACAGGTAGTGGGACTAGTAGGGCGCCTGCCTGCCCTTAGTAGAGTCTCATTAAGGCATGCGGGGTCGTCTCACGCCATCACTCGCTAGTCGTTTATGCATTAAGACGATTCGCCGTTTGTAACTTCGCCTGAGCTTACGCCTGTGTTGGTGCCAGCGGTTCAATAGATCATCTGTACTGCTGCCGCCACCGTTGAAGCAATTTTGTCTGTAGCAATGGGTTTTGGTAGCGCAAGCGTGTCAAGTAAGTGGACAGAAACGTTCGTTGGGTATGTACATACACGAAGGGAATATCTCGCCATAATAGGGTCTACGGTATGGTCTAGTAACGTGGTGAGAAAGAGTAAGGTATGGTAACAGATAACCCTTCGTGGGTTTTAGAATTGAACCGCGCGTCGTCTGCTATCAGTCAAAGCTTTTGCTGGTTGTGTTCCGCGGTGCATTTTTCCTACGACATGAAGCCGATTATAGCAACGTCTGAACTTTGAATTCGATTTTCCTTCAAAAAAACTGCAAGACGCAATAATTAAGTTTTGGTTTAGTGTAAAGCAGAATTTGAGCGTTTGATGGCAACGCTTTTTTGGCATAATTTTGTGCGATAAACAGTATCTGGATTCACTGTAACGATTATATTGGCTGTAAACCATAAACAATAGTACAATTGTTTTTTGGATTATTATCGGCAGTGACCTATACCTAGTTGAAAGGTTATGGTATGAAAACTATGAATGGTCCTTGCAAAGACACTCTAAATATTTGTCGTTGCCAAATGGCCAGCTTCGTATCCAGCAGAACGGTATCTTCAAGTGTTGACTGTGTAACCGACTTAGTAAATAATATGACCATTTTCCATTGAAAAAAAGAGATACTAAGCATTGTCGCTAAAAACAAAATAACTAATGGATTTGTGGGTAATCGTTATGGGCTTGGCTAATATGTACTTGTATATGAGGAGCAGGTCATCTGTAAGTGATTGCTTTGTGTCTTACCTTTCAGCGTATATGATTCCATGTTTATCGCTCGAGCATGGGTGCTCGGCGTGTATTAGTACGTAAGGCTGCCTCTACGTCGAGCGTGAAAAACAGTCGTATTTGTATGAAGCGAGGGGTAATATTAGCAATCTAATAATTAGCTCATCTCCTGGGTGGTGATCTCCTAGTTATTTTTTAATGGAACATTCGCTTTAATTGCATTGGCCTCAGTTCATGATGGAAGTTTCACACGTACAGTATCGAAAAGCGTAAGATAGATATGGTATCTAACTGTCGAAAATCCGTTGAACTGACGGGAGCAACACGTTCGATTCTTATCCCACGATGACAGCGAAGTCTTTAAACGCGAAAGGGCGAAATTTTAGAAGTTAGGCTGACTTTCATGACATTTCAAAGAGCCGTACGGATCGGACAATATTAGGACGATGTGGTCTTTATGAGGCTACAGCACTGGAAGGCGTGCAACCTCAAGCAGGTGTGGAGCGAAATAGTAAAAATAAGTGCGATTTTTGACAACAGCAGCCAAAATGGTTTATTCAGTATTGATCCGAATAGCGGTTTTAGTCTTATGAAGCCATGAGCATAACCTAAGTACGTTTTACCTCGTTGTGATTTAAAGTTTTAGTGATTCATCTAAAACGAATCGTATCGTACTGCTAGGCTCATAATTGAGACGCGCGCACTTCTGGAGGTACCAAACTTCTCGGATGTGAATGTATTCATAGGCTATCGTCACTTTGTGTCCTTACTAATCGATGAATTTCATAAATTACGTTCAATAGAAGTTCACTCAATCATAACCATTTACACAATCTTAACGACAGTTAACGGTTCACTATCTGTTTGATTCTATTTCTGTGAATGTAACGCCGACTATCTGGGTACCAGTTTTCGCGTTTGATCACAAATAGCGATTATTGAAATTGCGTTTCTCTACGTGTCAGTTATTTACTTCCGGTATCGCCGTTCGGCATTTCATCAGAAGGCTGGCTCCTAGTACAAAATAAAGCGTGTCTATGGAAGGAATCGAACCGACACTATAATATGTCCTTAATATTAACAGTCGAATAAGCTAGCTATTAAACTATCATGAGGACCTGCAATCGTATACGTTTGGTCCAAACCGTATAGTATTCATAGAGAGGCAAACTTAGTCATGTGAGAACGACCGATCATGAGGTCAGCCTCTTGAAGTCCCGAATGTATCCATAATGGATAAGAGTGGAGCCACTGTAGCGCTAGGATAGCAGTAGCAGTTATGTACGTTTCGCGGTTCTATTTCTAACTAACGAGGCGAAATGATGGGCATACGCAATGAACGCTGCGACACGAAATTAGGGTGCTTACACTAATAGGGTTTTGCCGTCGTTATGGTTTTGACCTTTAGATGTATATCGTACTCAGCGTCTATTTCTCTTCCCACATCTGATTGCCGTAGGAACTCACTCATGACCAAATAGCCCCTCACCGCATCAGGCATCTAAAGCATTTTAAACTACTTTCTCGCTGGATATTAGGAGACGTAATATTTACTGATATTATTCGGATGCGTAATACGATTTGTAATAATTCGATGATACTCGTACAAATACCTTTAATGGAGAGGACATGAGAGTATTTGCGTAACCTTGTGTATTCAAATTCGCACCGTCTGCTAGATGGCGTTGGTGTTGACAGCATCGTATCTTTATGCTTTAACTGGTTATCTCCTGCGAGATGATATTATTTCCTGTAAGGTGAGATTTTATATTGCTATATATATACAGTTGCTATGATAGCCAGCCGACCTTCTTTGCGGGCTGTGTTATTAGCATCTATGTTATTCTGAACTAAAATGCACGCCATGTTGTTGGTATCTGCAACTCTGGGCAATGACTGACCCGTGAGCTCAAATAAAAGACCTCATGAGCTTTCTTAAGAACCTGGCTTAACATGCCGTGTATGCACATCCATCGATAGTTTTCCCACGAAACGCTTTCAGAGACACTTCGCTTCAGGAGGTAAATTTGTGTCGCCACTATTATCATTTGAAACTCACGCTTCGCACGGGAACCAGGGAAGTTTACGCAGCGAAGTGGAGAATAAGCTGGCTGAAAAAAAGCGTATTCTTATTAAATTGCACTGTTGAAGAAATAAATGTTCTGCAAATTACTAGGTGTACTCTACATGGTAAAATGATTTGACCGTCATGGCACGCCTATCCATCGACTACACTGTGTGCGCTAACGCTTTTGTGTTTTAATGCCTAAAGGAACAAAATCGTAAGCAATATGACAGAAATGATTTAATAACATTGTGCTGCTTGTGTTGTACAAGCTTCTACAGCTGATTCGTAAAGGCTTCGCGGAATTATACACTTGCTGACAATCTTTTAATGGAATCTGTATCGCATCACATAGTTAAAAATATATAGCTGGCATATAGACTTTATGAATACGTGGAGAAGTTGCAGGACCCAAAATGCGCCTCGTTGCAAAACAGTTACAGCAGAAACGGCAACGATCCTATTCAGCAACTCATTATGTTAAATGAATGTTCGACTGGTGCCAAATAGAATATAACAGGCTTTTTGCTGGACTGATATGGCTAATATCAAAAGGACGACACTCCGATTTAGGTCTCAACACCATGCAATCCCTGGCCGTTTCTTTGAGTAGAAGAACGTGATCGCTACGTTCATGTTAAGTCACAAGAGGACGGTGCCTCTGGTCTACTAGCATTTAACCCTAAACGCATTTGTTAATGAGAAACATATATATATATATATATATATATATATATATATATATATATATATACGTATCTCTTCGTTATTTTCGAACAGCATTACGAGTTATTTTTAGATAGAGGTGGTAGCTCCGTGGGTCAATTGAAGAACATGCTTACAAGCAGAACTTAGCTTTTACTGAGAGATCGGTTCCTGCGTACCCGCTAATAGGACCAGGTGGAAAGGGATATCCAAGACTTCCCGAAACTCATGGGACGTCTTTTGAAAAGCGATGGTTCAAGTGAGGTTTTATGGTAATACGTTGTACTATTTAGATATTTCGGGTTAGTGATATAGCAGGTTATCTGGTACGACTTGTTTGCGTTGGCCTGAATGATCCATTCTTGTCAAACCCTATTATTATTACTCCGAGTGGATTACATGACAAAGGGCAACTTGCACGTGTTAGCGAATATCTGTGCTTTTTAAATGTATCTACACTACTATTTCCAACAACCTAATAATTTGCACATCTCTTGCTCATAATGAACCTATTTTTAGTGATGAAGACGATCACGCAGGAGGCCATGGGGGCGGCGGAGGGTGTGCTGGTGGAATGTACAACAATTCGTATGACACCCACAATATACGTTCCCTGCACCACTACACGAGAGAGGCACTGCCCCGTCTGGATCACTATCGGAACGTGATGAGTGTGCATGGTCATATGAATAGGCCGACCCTCGACGAATTGCACAATGCAACATTATCTCTGCTACCTGAAAAGGTAAGTTGACATTGAAAGATTGTAGAAGATCGTAAGATCCAGCTTTTAGCAAGGAATCAAATATTACTACTCTGCTTGGGATATCTTGCTGCTAATATATGATATGCAGTATTATTAACAATCTAATAAATGCGCTTCAGCTAATTTTTTGTGGCATAACTAAAAGTTGATCATAAAAAAAATGTTGTTATTATGCAAGCCTTCCTATGCGTGTACGGAAATTTTGTTTCTTTTATCCATTTAGGATGAATACTAGACCTTATGGGCCTAAAACTCAGATAACACTTGCCTTAATTTTTATGGTCTCTCTAACTGAAATCAGAGAGGTTTGTTTGTTGTGTCGAGCAAATAGAAATAATTTACTGTAACTTTTTCTGAATGCAAGCTAGCATAGAGTTTCCTCTCATAAATCTAAAAGAAAAAGTTTACACGTATCGCAAGCAAAATTATAAAAGGTCGATAAAATATAATAGATCTCGCCTATTGTATATTCAGCCGCATTGTTTTTTCTTCTAACGTGTGATCTTAATAAAATATCCAGGTTCCTGAACTATTACTCAACTAATAACAGGTTCAAGCTAAAAGCACATGTACTGTGTTCGTAGCATTAGCAGTTCCTCCATAAGGAAAAATCTTTATTAATCAAATATCTACTGTAATGAGCTCTGTTTAGTACATAATATGCATAATATATTATCCGCCATATTTACCGTATTTAAGCGCGATCTAATTAAGGCAACAAACTGAGTTCGTTTGTGCTTTTTGCGATTTTCTATGACAGCTTTTGGTTGGGCTAATTATCTGATAACACTCCGTAAAAAAAAATCTGTGTTTACTATAGAACCACTGCTGCCATCGACAAACGAGGTGACTCTAGCGTCAGAGGAATTTAATAGTAATTATGTTAGCGACTAAGCATAACTATGTATGCCAATATAATTAGTCGCCGTGAAGCAATCTTCATAGTTCTGTTGAAGTGCCACTATTTGGTGTTTATCAGCCGCGATTGCAATGGAAAACTTTTGCTTTCGACAAGAGTCAGTTGAGCTTGGCGCAGAGATTGTCCTAAGTTGTCCTAATCTACTTTGGCCTATAGATACAATGGCAGTTGCTTACACGGGGTAGGTTAAAACCGCGTTCTTGCTTATGCAGCCTGGGGCTGCTGGCCTAATACTATTTTAGTTTGATAATTGATATTGTATCGGCTAATATAGGTCCTGATGGTAAAAGGGCCTATGCTAAGTATCAAGTATTATCACGAGGACCTCTTATGACTTTCACCTTCAACGCCTCATGTTATCACTTTCGCTCAGATGCTTAGTAAACAAGACCAGTGCTTAAGGGAAACCCATAAAATTATAATGCGAAGAATCATTAATAATATAACGACGAAGCGTGTGGGGTTAAAGGAAGACTCAGGCAAATGGGCTGTATCTCTATTTCTATACAAAGGCGTTTTTATGAAACCTCATAAAGATAGATACAGAACTGTATTGCTCTTTACTCGGTCAACTCCATCTAGACCTGGGTACATTTTCCCCTTGGAGTATAGGTCATAAGTTTATGAAAAATCTCAGTTATAAGAAGAAAGATAATTTGAGAGAATCAATTTAGGTTTTTCAATTGTGGTTAAACCGTGCACGTACATATAGGCATCTTACTACTCGTACAATATACGTTTTATGAGACATTGCGCACATTATTTTAACATTCCGTTTTTATTGAGAAAGTACATAGCGTTGTGCATACTCCTGTGTTTGAATTTATTTTGTACCGCATACAGAGGCAGCATTGAGATATAAAGGGCAGCCAATAAAGCAGCTTTAAGCAAAACCTGGGGTGCAAAGCTGAAAACCATTCTTTGTCTATTAGGTAAAGTAAAAGTTAGCCGATGGGCGTCACAAACTAATTTTAAGTGAGCAACTAATGAATGAAATAGCCAGGAAAATAATTACACTTAGTAAATAAACTTCTGCTATGTAGTTATTACGGCTTTCCGGTTTGCAAAAAAACTAATCACAGTTTAACTAACTTATCTGCAAGCTTTAATTCAATTTACTTGTTTAACTAAAGAAATACGCTAGCGATCACGTAACTGCTCGAGGGTGGAATACTCCGATATTGCTCATCACAAGATGGAGAGTACTACTTACTAATAATACAAGCATTTAGATGCGCAGGACCTCGAAGCCTGAAGGAATAAGCATCGCCTTGAGGACAACGTTTTGCTATTTATGCAATTCCTCTACTATATTGCTTTCTGTGTCGTACATACATATCGATGTGATTGAGCAATAAAGAGGTGAACTAACTTCTCACTAGACATCGGCCTCAACATCAAATGGTGCTTCTCTGTTTAAGTCGTTGTGCACACCCTTCACACAACAGAACCCTATTAGTGTTACTTCGAGGTATAATCGCACCCACATATAATTGGCTGCCATTAATGACAGGATAAAAAATCGAATACGATGTCTGACCGATGCGAGAGTTGATCTTTCTGTTTTAGATTGGTATATTTAGACCTTAAAAAGCAATAAGTTCCGCACCAAGCGTGCAGCTTGGCCAAGTTGCGTACGTAAAAATGTCGATCGAAGAGACAATCGTCACCTGCGATTTTCAGCCATCACATGAACGTCATTAAATATGTGAGTATTTTGGGTTTTTTAAGAACCTATCCTCAAAAGTCACAACTTTTCAGTTTACTTGAAAACTCCGGTATAATTCGTTGGGTCTTGCTAAGAAGCGTTTCCCTTTAGAAAGTACAATACTCCTTAATCATGTACTTGCAAAAGCCGTTCATGAAAATGGGTAAGGCGATCGAAAAGCATCGCGATGGTCGCCGGCAAATCAGCACTATTCTCGGTTCGTACGCTGACATGCGTTATCGGTCGATGCTACGCCTTGATCCGTATATTTTCGTATGTTCGGGGATTCGAAGCCGCGGTTGCCTCTCACACTTGACTAACCAGTCATTACAGCTGTTTTTGTATAGGCCCGATGGGCGCCAATGGACACTGCTAACAGCGTACGCTCTGTTTAGGCTCCTTTTTGCTTTGCCTGCGCGGAGGAAACTGCAATCAATATAATTAACCGTAAACACCAGTCATCGCTACGTCGCCATAAATGCTCCAAGTTTTAATTAACCCAGCCGTTGCTACGTGGTCGAATCACTCTGTGACAGCCTTACGAGCGCTACGATTTATTACACCACGTCTAACCGTCTATAGGTCTGACAAGCAGCACCTCGATGATCACAATTGTTATCCATCGTATACACTAGTATCGACACCGGCAAGAACGTAAGGGGTGTCAATTCGAGTGCTCTCGATGGCTACATTTGACGAACGCTATAATATCATATATTACCTATTACCCCCGGCGATAGCTTATCGTTGGTGGGCTTCTTGAAAAAGCTAGCTCACGATTCCCAGGCAGTGGGATGGCATCAAATATTCTATGTGTAATCAAACGCTTTTTAACTATAGCCTAAAAAAACGAAGAAAACTAATTAATGATAAGTATACCATAGATACTTCACCGATTACATTCATTATATACATTGTAATTGCGCAAAACACATTAGAGTCAGAATCTTAGGAAGCATATTCTGCCTACTTGCGATAATTTAGGACAAGTCCTCTTAAATATTCGTACATACATTATATATCTGCGTACTATTAACTTACGAGATTAGGGTCTCATGACGATTATGTTGGCATAACAAGCCTAGCAAGTGTTATTCGAATGCAGTCGCCCGGTGTTATAAAGTCGTCCATGTTAGTAGACTTAGCGATCTATTTTTCCTTGTACAGCTAAATGGTAAGATGTTGTATTATATATAATAGTCAATAAACATGTAAGCTTCTGCAGGTGTGCGTACACTATTCATTTTTGTATTGATCTTTCCACGTTCTTATTTGTTGGCCGTTACTTTACGCCTGCGCTATAGTCGGCGCGGAATTGTTGCCCATGCTGCAGCAGATCTTTCGGGCAACTGAAATCTGCCTAGCCTCCCGCAGCCTCCTAGAAGTTCGCAAGCTTTTTATTACCGTCAGGCTGTTCGCCGACTGGAAACTGTCGTTATTCTGTAAAGGCATAGGTTGTCGGCACAATAGTTCCTGTCGATGGGCATATCACAGCCCACGTTAGGGTAGCTTCATTGGATTAGATCTGCCATCAAGAACCTTAACCAGTCTGATGCTCAGGTTAGGAAGTCGTGCATGTACATCTTTCTGCTAAGGAAAAGAATAAAGAAAATATATAATCGAAGCCAGTGAAAGTCCAAGTAAAATTGCATTGAGCTAAGTTGGAGCTCATTACTTCTACAATAACTGCGTTCAACCTAAAGGCTGCATGCATACACACGTGTTTGAACTTTTTCAATCCTTTATGAGTTAAACTGTTGATTTTGTCAGCCACGATCAATAAAATTGCTTTCAGTCGAATTCTCTGCAGAAAAAGGCTCTCATTAGTAGCCTTTACAGCGGCGCGACGTTGAGAAGAAATTTTCTTCTATTCAGCGTATCGTCCTGCTAAACAACTAATTTCGCCATAAGAAACCGTTACTCTAGTGCTATATGAAAGGAAAACAAATTTTCGTAGGTTCTCTATTATATGACCCTAATAAGCTAGAACTATAGGGCTGTTGATATTATACATCAAAATATCGTCACTGCCTTTCCGAAAGTATCCCAAAATGTGCCAAGCAGAGAATAGACATTAACATCACGGTGCAAGGGATGAGCCATCCATTGTCCAGTACTATAACGAAATGATTCTAAGGCAGTGATTTCCTACGTTATTTGCCGTCAAGGAACTCCTTTGTGGGAGTCCAGGTGAAGCGAAATCATTTGCAAGATCTAACTAAAATTAGCGCACGTATTATACACGTTATGTTAAAACTAATCTACCAGAACTCATGTAAGCATATCATGATCCATTTTTCCGGCTGGTCTGTTCGAGGACTGTTAGCTCCTAGTTCCCGTAACATGCAGCTG